CAATGTACCTCCAATTGCCTTTCGATAAGCTGTTTTCGATAAGAATTTTTGCGTTTATAGTGTAAAATTAATTTTGTTAACAGATAAAGTCCGCCTAAAATTAGTGATATGCAGACCATTGCAAACGTCATATTTCTTAAATCCATCATGTATTCCGTCATACGATGCATATCATCAGCAACCTTCAAAAATGAATATTACACAAAACTGTATATGTGTAATGTTTGACCATTTAAAAACATTGAGGAAAATATCTGTAACTGGAAAAAAAAATTTTAGGTTATTTTTGTTTATCGTTTTTATCAATTACAATCACCATTGACCCGTATGTTTTTTTTTTTTTTTAAATTGTCTACTTAATTTCATTCTGAAAAAAAAATAAATAAAAAACAAATAACGTATACCTGCATCATTTTTGGTAACTGACTAAAAACAGCATTCATATCCGGATACTGAGGTGCTTCCATAGCCTGTCTAACATGCACTGGTGTACTGCTTCTTCCACCCATAATCGTTTTAGCTCATTAACGTTGAATAATGAACTGGAAATGTGAAAAAATTTTCTGATATTAATAATTGATGCAAAAAAAGTTATTAAAAAAAAAAAGAAAGAATTTTCTCCAAAGCGACATAGTAAAGTTTTTTTTTTGATATCTGTTAATATTAAGCAATTTCTAAGCAACAATTGAAATACATTATAAATAGCGACATGAAAAACGAAAGAAAAAAAAAAAGAAAGAACAGTCAGTAATAGTGATAACAAATTGTCCATATAATACCAGAAAACTAACAGTATTAAAATCAATTTAAGAAAGAAATAAAATCTAAGCTGCCAAAATAGAAGCCGAACAACACGGAACAGTTGAGTACTAAATAGATGATAAAATTAGAGCAAAAAAGCAGTTGAAGTTTTTCTTTCTTCTTTTCCTTTCAAATTAATATTTAAAATGTATAAATGAGAAAAAGAAAATGTATATACTGTATGTACAAAAAGATAATTATTGTATATATTTATACAAACTGTTTTTTTTACCAGTACATAGTAAACAGAAAAAAAAAAACAACACCAAACAACTAGGTATTAATTAATATACACTTCAAAATCTTTACAAAATTTCTTTTTTCTTCACTAATTTTTTTTTTTTCTGTTGTCTTCTTTTTTTTTACATCTCAAACAAAGAAAGAGTTGAGAAGAAAAAAAAAAATAAACAAAAACAAATCAAAAAAAAAGGGTTATAACCAAAAAAAACATCAACACCGAATTCGAATTTTAAATGCTGTTGTTGCTGCTGCTGCTGCTTCTACCGCTACAGCTAAACGCTGGCGATGACAATAGAAGTTGATGCCAAAAAAAAAAAAAAAAATGAAA